CGGCGGGGGAGGGGGCTTCCTTGAACCCGGTGGCTTGGGCAGGAACGCTGGAGCCGCGGTGGGGCGGGGGGGTTTAGACCCTGTTTTCCGGAGGCAGAACCTTGGCCTGGGCCGCTCCTGGCTGGGGCCTCGTGTGCTACAGCTTCAGTGTGGGGAAAGCCGGGAGTTCTCCGTTCGCTGATGCGTGTTCCTGCGGAACCGGGAGAGCGCGGGCTGTGGGGACAGCGCCGCGGGCCGCGGGGCTGCACAGGGAGAAGAGAGAAACAGCCACCTGCGTGGTGGCCTCCAAGCAAGGATGGGGTCTTTTTCTCTTGCAGTTCCTGACGGAGCTTACCAGACTCTTCCAAAAGTGCAGAACTTCGGGGAGTGTTTTCATAACGCTGAAGAAATGTAAGTTTTAAGTCTGTAGCTGGATTAAGGAGGTGTTCCTGTGTTCCAACTTAGTGTTGATAGCATGTATTTTAAAAGGTACAGTTGTAATTCAGAGTATCTGGAAACAGGAGTGGCCATATGGATAAATCAGTCATCTTGGCTGCAGTACTACTAACCTTGAAGTAAGACTATTTCAAACTACAGGCAATATTGGGACTTCCTAATTATTAAACAATAACTGGAACTCCTTAAATTTCTATAAAGGAGAATTACAGTGTTGCTTTTGTGTCTTTATGTTTCTCTGGTTTCTGGCTAGCTGGCACTACTTGAGAAGTCAAGTGTCCTAGGCTGCAGTTTGACATGCATTTAAACCGCAACATGTCGGGGCGAGGATTTATGTTTTTTTTCCTGGCAGATGTAGTTTATGGAACAGATCCTCCTGGGGTTGTAGAGGAAGGTCTGTGAACAATTGGGCAGCAGTGTCAGTTCAGATGGCCTGAAATTCCAGGGTGTTTTACAGATCTCCTTATGAGCAATTTTTAACATCTCATGTTAGGAGGCATCCGGTGGTTTTAGTGAAATACAAATAAATGTTCTCTGCCTTTCAATACAGATGACGGCCGAACAAAACCAGTCCCACGCAAAGGCCACGTAGAAAGTTTTGAACCAGCGGACAATAAGTGTCTTCTAAGAGCAACTGATGGAAAGAAGAAAATTAGCACAGTGGTAAGAGACAATTGTGGGTTAGAAAGATTAGTGGCCCTACTTGTCTGTTACTTGATGCCCCGTATTTTAAGTGAAATTTATCTTTACATGAATTTCATAAGAACTACCCTCTGAATTCTGGAGAAACCATATGGTAGCTAAACACAACGCTGAAGTTGGGGTGCTGAAGTGTTACACCTGCCCAAAGTCTTAATGCTTACACTTGGTGTTACAGAGGGGACAGCAGTTCGTAGTTTTGCTCTGTGTGCTGGAATTTGCTTCAGAAGGGTATGGTGGAAAGGGAATCTGCTGTTTTCAGCAGCTTTGGCTGTTTTGGTTTGAGTCGGGTGGAACTGTTTGGAGGGAAGGGGGAAACTGCTCCTAGAGACACGGGCAGATGGCAGGACCTGTATGCAGTGTAGCTCCAAGGAGGAGAAAGGTGCTGCACACCTACACTTAAGCCTCAAGTGACAAAGAGGTAGTTTCACATAGACCGTGATGGAATTAATGAAGGTTCTTGCAACCCAGGAAAGAACTGAGTGTTCTCAGACTGTGAAACAGGAAAAGGAACCTTGTTTCCTGGCAAGAATGTGTGGGCATGGGTAGCCTCTTCTAAGCCTCAACCTTGCTTAGCATACCTATTTTTTTCTCATTTATAAGCTATTTGTGTTTCAGGAAATGTTAACTAGAAGTTGGAAACCTGATGTGCTTTTACTTGTAAGGAGAGACTGGAAAGGGTGTTAGCTGACCTCAGTGATGTAACCCAAGGAAAAATGTGACACTGAGAAATTGTTGGAGAGAATCTGGGCTGCAATGTATTTTTATGGCCCTACAATAAATAAAACATTCCTTGGAATGTTTCTTCATGTTCTTCCCATTTGAAAACACAGGGATTTGGGACAAACTCTTCACTGTGAGGGCGGTGAGACACTGGCACAGGTTGTCCAGAAGAAGCTGTGGCTTCCCCCTCTCTGGCAGTCTTCAAGGCTGGATGGGGCTTGGAGCAACATGGTCTGGTGAAAGGTGTCCTTGCCCACGGCAGTGGGGTTGGAACAAGATGATCTTTAAGGTCCCTTCCAACCCAAACCATTTGATGATCCTACAAAGGAACTCCAGAGGATTTTAATAGTCGAGTAAGGAGCGTGTTCAGTTTTCTGAATCAGGGAAGTGCTAGGACATGTCAGCGCAGCCTGCCTGCCTGAGTGTGATGGGCTGATCTGACTGCTGCTGAAATGACTAGATGGTCACTGATGGGTAACTTGGTTTGTAATAGAAGCCAGTGTTTTCTTGGTTAACCTCCAGTATTGCTTTTGTAGGTGAGCTCAAAGGAAGTAAATAAGTTCCAGATGGTGAGTTTTGTATGCCTTTTATCTTCCTTCTCTTAGGTATTGGGGAGTGGTCAGTAGGAAGCACTGGACAGCTGTGCACGGCTTGATTCAGTGCTGAACTACCACACAGATTAACCTTAGACTACCCATCTGTCTGCATTTGTATAAAGAAAAAAAATCCTGTTGTATTTTATCTAAATTTCTGCATTGCTTTAGAAACAACAGTTTCCCAGCGTGGGGTGTAAAAGCATGGTTCTCTAAGTGAGAAAATGCAGATACCTATTTGTTAGCAATATGTAAAATGTCACCTCTAGTATGTTGTCACTTAAGTATTTTTCTTTTAATGGTTCCAATTGTTGTTTCAGGCATACTCAAACTTGCTGAGAGCTAACATGGATGGCTTGAAGAAGAAAGACAAGAAAAGCAAAAACAAGAAGAGTAAAGCAACACAGTGATGGAATAGTGTCCTACCACCACTATAACAGACTTGACCCTTGCTCAAAGCAAAGTCCATTTCTTCTTGAGTTACCACTTGTCTTTGGCTTTCCTTCCAGCAGGAAACTGAGATGCGATCAGGACTTCTGTTTGAACCAAGAGCAGAAGGTGCTTTCTGTGGATTGTTGTATGGCAGGAGTATTCACAGGGTTACACTGAAATAACTTTACGCTCAGCTGCCAACTAGTTTTGTACTTCTCCTGCTGCCTGTTTTGTACTGTACAAGTGAGCAGTGTAAAACCTGTTTGGGGGTAACACGGGGTGAACAGAAATGCGCCATCCCAGAGGCAAAGTAAGACTGGAGGGGGAGTCTCAGTGACAGATGCCCAGTTTATAGGTAAGCCTCAGTACTGCTAGGGAAAGTGGGTGCCAACACGTTATGGGGAACAGCAGCTTTCCTGTTTCTGTCTTATTTTGAGGGACATGTCTAGGTGATGCAGTGCAGATATTGCTAAGGCAGCCAGCGCAGTGCTCGGGCTCTTGCAGAGCCAGGCAGCTGTGCCTTTGCTCTGTGCTGATCCAGCTGGCCTGACCCTGGCTTGGGGTGCAGGGAGAGCAGGACAGGACTCTGCATCATGTTCCCTTCAGACATGGCTTACAAATGTTCATGTCACCTAAACTGGTTTTAAAGCTCCATCCTTCAGTATATTCAGGGATCTGAATTTCCCCATACCTCACATCTTAAAGTAGCTCCTTCCTATGAGTAGATGTAAAAGGTAAATATGCAATTGTCCCTATTAAACACAATGAGAAATGGATTTGGTTGCAATGACTGATGTGACTTGTCTCGGTGAATTATGAGGACTGGTATGGTTACCTGTGCCTTCAGGACTGACTCCCCTGATGCTACTTTGTGTGGTACTGTTACAACTTCCACTGTTCTCAGAAGTTCTTGAGTTTGTGTTTAAAGGTAACTCTTTACATATTTTAACTTTGCCCTCCTCTTTACTACAAAAAAAAAAGCACAGAAAAAGTCAGTAGGTTTTTCTTAATGCAATGAGCCTGCAGTGCTAAAGGCAATCATTTGAGTTAAAGAAAGAAATGGGAGTAAGCTATTTAAACAGAAGGCATCAGGTGGGGAGGGAGGGTAAACCACCAGTATAGTTCCAGAAACCCTAACTTTTCTGCATATTCACTGCTGTAGTATAAGTAGTTTGATGTGAAACAGAATGCGTAGGGAAGCATGGCTGCTGTAACTCTTCAGATTTGCTCAACTTTGCTTTTCCTGATGGCGTTGTGCTACAGTTCAGCTTCAAGAAGATAATTGTAAGATTCCCATCATTACCATGACTTTAAATTCAAACTTAAGTTAGTTCAAAAGCTAGTTCAAAACTCCGGTTATGCCTCTAGCATATGCAGGTTACTGTTTCTCTTAAAAGACTTACGTTTAGGTCCTTTAGGTCTGAAACAAGATTTTCCTGTATCAGGTCTTACTTTGTCTCCTAGGAAGCTGCTGCTTGATTTGAATGCAAAAGTACAGACAGGACAGGCATAGGCAGCTAGGCTTGCAACAACTCTCACTGCTTGAAATCTACCATCTTTTATATAGAAATTAAAACAGTAGATTTAAAACAAACAAACACACACCACAAAAAGCTTGTAATACACATTTCAAGAAGGCTCAGTAGCCAAACCTTTTATTAAATAAAAACCCTTCTTCAAAAAAGTTTAAAACCAGTTTGTTAGAGTTGAAGATAATTCATCCTCTCTCATCCTTGAACAGTTTGTCATTTCAGTACTACTGTTGCACCTTGACATAAAAGGTGTTCTGAAACTGTACTTAAAAAAAAGTTGTTTTACACCTGCACAGCTGATAATCTCTTTTGTGGCATAAGGGGTAAGAATTACACAATAATACCTATCTGTGGCTGTAGTCAGGCTTGCTCCTTAATTGCCTATAAAACATTTATTTCCACTTTTTGACATAAGTTTACAGTTGTATATTACACATGAAATTCAATCTGGACACATAAGAAGGCAGTAGTTGCTCATCTTGCATTATTAGAGCTTTTTGAAATTCCTTTTGACAAAACACTTGTCTGTTAGTAAAAGCATCTCATGAAAGAGGCTTTAAGCACTAGAACAAAACCTTGTATTCGTCTCGGTAACTGTACAGGATAAGTGCAGGAACCCTGCAGAGGGAAGGAAAAGAGAATTTTTAAGCTTTGAAACTGCAGGTTTGAAAGCTACAATACCTGTAGCCAATCCTAGCACTAAGCTAACAGCAGAGATGCAGCAGAACAGCTATATACCTGAACGTACGCAGTTGTTTGCTACTCAGTTTTGTGAGCAAAGCAGCAAGTGAGATAACAGTGGGAATACATTTTAGAATTTCTTGAAAAGGCTGATAAAAATGAAGAATTTATATGGCCAAGAATTTACATTTTACCACAAGTGAGATTAGATGACCAGTAAACTTTTCCTGTAGTACTCAAGGAACTGTACACGTTTCCCAAATATTTCTTTTTTTCCTCAGGGAAAGGTGGGGACAAATTAAGAGCAGCTTATTTAGTAAAGTTTTAACGCAGAAATGATGGAGATACTTTATGTACCTGTAAAAGCTTAACAGATTTACCTCTTTTCCATTTTGATGCTGTAAATTTCATCACAAATTGCTTGTAGGTATGAACATCTCTGTTTTGGCCATCGTGACATCAGTTGTCTCACAGTGGCATCAAAGGCTTGTCTATCTCCATCAAACTAAGAAAAAAAAAATGCAAGGAACTATGACAGTCTTGCATTCTCTCATGAAGGAAACACTTCTCCCGATAGGATTCAGTCCTCTAAATATTGTGTAATGTCAATGCTCCTTAATTAAACAGGCTTCAAACAAAACTCAAACATGTGCAACTTGATTTTTAATTTTTTTTTTAAACAAAATGTATTACGAATTTAGTGATCGGTCTATTAACGCAGATAGTTTAGTGATAAAAAGGCATAAGCCATGACAACGGCTCAAGCGGTTTTGCAATGCTGGATAGAATGTGAGAACCGTGGTGTAAGGGTGGTCAAGAGCAAATGATGTAAACTGATCGTGTGCATTTTTGTATTTAAGTAAAAGGTGATGGAACTATCTCCCATGATTTGGATAGACTGGATGAACTAAGTATTTTGAGAATATTCTCAAGTGTTTCACTGGGGTCTGATTACCAGACAAGCACTGCTTCAGAGTATGGAAGTACTAAATCCACTTCCAGGCAGGATGCCTTCCTTGAGTTTGTTTTTTTGGGGGGTGGGAGGAATCCTTCTCTCTAGTAAGAACTTCTGACTTCAAAGCTACTGCTGCAATTGGAGGAAAGAAGGGAGCTTTGTCTTTGGTGGGTTTTTTCCCCTCATCAAGCAGTTTCTGAGTTGTTAAAGGTGTCAATATAATACATCCCCTTTTTATCTTGGCTTCACTGAGCAACGTTTCAGTTACTGCCCTTGAAACAATTGCCTGTTAACAGCTTGAAGAAACACCTTTGTTGAAACTTCTGTTAATGCTTATTTGTTTTTGAAAATGAGCAGTAAGACTTAATTTCAGTTGACTATCCTTGAGGAAAAAACCCACAGCTTTAGGTTAGGACTTCCTAATGGTGTCTTGCCCAACTTGGGCATTTGACAAAAAGATTCTTTTAGTCTCAGCTATTTTTACGTCAAGCGCCTTGGGTAAAAATAATCCTTTCAAGTTTTAAATCCTAATTCAGACTCCTTGAAGGAGGAAAAACTACAACGGGTGAATTTTACATTCCACTTCATTAGGAACAGAATTTATCATCTATTGTTCAATTGCTTACCTCTAGTGATAAGAAGTGTATCACAGTTGCTTTTGGCAGATCTACCTGTAAAAATATGATCAAGAAATCAACACTTAACAGTTCTTCTGTTATCAGTTTGCCAACTAGAGATTAGCTGTACTGAAGGGAGTCAGACTTTTTGATTTCCAAAGAAGCACTTGTGCTGACAGAACTGGGAATTTACCAAGATTTTAAGCATTTTAAACAATCTGTGACAGATTCCATTATGGAAAGTTCCAAATAAGCATAGGCAAATAGGCAGTGTGTTTCCTGAAAAGCACATAGCACTTTCAAGTCCTTTGTGACATGGTCAGCGAAGTGTAAAAGCTATATTCAAACAAAAGCTATGTTGGTTTAAATGTAAGAGCAGATCTAGCAGGAACAGGTTATTACAGTAGTCAGCACAAGTACAGCTTAAGAATTTACAACTAAATACTTGTTAAATTTTGTCCTATGCAGCTGTCCAATACACCCAAGTCGAGATACTTTTCAAGTGTTAAAGAAACATGCCATGGGTCTTATTTAACCAGAAGTTTCGTTCATTTGGTATCTCTAAAGTGAGGCTATTTGCAGTAGTTTGTTCCAGATAGCAACTGCATCATCCAGTTCAATTAAGAACTTGAAATTAATTCAGGCTTCTGCCAAATACTTACTGCTAAAATCTCAATCTCACTTGTTTTCTGTTGCAGGCTACAAATGAATGTCTGAAGTCTTGTTTGCACCTGGCAACAAAAGATGGGCAAAAGTAAAATACACTGGTTGGGAACACATTTTTTATTTCACAGATGATGAGAACAGAAGAGGCTGCTTCTAACAGAAGAGGCTGCTTCTAACAGAAGAGGCTGCTTCTAACACAAGATGTAGAACTACATCATATTTAAGTTAAAATTCACCTTTAGTATAATTTTCAGTAACAATTCCACAATAATCCTTGATGAGTAGACCAGAAGGAGAGGTTGAGCCTCTCTTGCAGCATGGTAAAAGACTTGATAATAGTGGTACAGACAGAAAGCAGACAGAACCGCACGTTGCAATGTGAATTCTCGTGTATGCGGTAGAAACTGCCTGTTTCTGGGTGTTAGATGACTTTTCAGAGGAATGCGAAAATCTTTAACTCGACACAGTGAATCATCTCTAGCTGAAGAAAGATGACTGGTTTGAAAGCCAAACTAAAGTATGGGTCATGCCTTCTAATGCCTTCTTCCAGAGCAAGCAAGTAATCCTGCAAAGGCAGCACTTCACAAATGTAGTTGCAGCCTTGCACTATGTTGTCTTTTGTACCGTGGGAAGATCCTTTTATGTATTAAAAACCTGAAAACAGCAAGTCTGTTTAGCTCAAAGCTCAGAGAATAACACTTCTTTCTTTGGGTTTTGAGAACTATAGGGGGGATTTTTTTTGTCGCACACACAAATTTGGACTGAAAAGGGGCTAAGATTATAGTTCTGTTTTACCATGTACTCTAGGTATCTTGAAGCCAATAATCCTAAATGAGCAAACTATGACAATAGTTTCTAGCATCATTGAATCTTTTCTATATTATTATAATATCACATTTTGGGCAGGGTTGTTTTTTTTGTTTTTTAAATCTGCAATTTTTTCTTAGGCCTTTAGTTTGAGACAACATAATGAAATATTTAGAGTATCTGTTACGGATTGTACATAGTAC